CCTATAAAAATAAATTACTCCAAGTGAGCTGAAAACTTGGTCTTAAATTTACTTTCAAGAAGGTGAAGAGAACTGGTTAATGAAAATGTGATTCATCGTAGAAACAGCTCAGCCAATAGTGTATGCAGTAAATTAACCATTTTCTGGTACTTTCTTGTTTGATACGAAACATAGCAACAAGATGATAGCTTGACAACAATAGCAGCTGCATGTATTTTTCTTCCTTTTTTGAAAGCGTGTTCTTGTGGAAAAAATAGGTTCCCTGGAAAGTAATTTCTATTACAAGTTTCATCACAAAAATTCTGTGGGTGAGTACAATAGGCTAGAAATTAAATTAGTGATTTGTATAATAAATAATGGTTTTGATTTGATATGACACTTCTAGTCTCTTACAAGTGACATAGCTACAGGCAATAGAATAATCTCTTCGCCTTGTGAAGATAAATGTTGTATCAGACTAAACCATCTTATATTAAATTAAAACTTCCCTTTTTTCACCATATGAAGAGATTCCTGAGACTGTTCATTAAAGAAAAGCACAACCCAATTAAAAGGGTAGTTTGGCCAAATGTCTTGAAGACATTTTCTTGTATCATGTAGTTAATTTATATAGGGTACTGCCGTAAGAGGCTTGATCCAAATAAAGGCATTTTCTTTTTTGCAGCAAGTGGTGCGATTGTGGCCACACTGAGCTAGAAGGTGCTGCTCTTATCTCAATAGACTAAAACCCTCAAACGTAAATGAAGTATGATAAGAGGAATCTAGTATCTTGACTGCCTTTCTTGGGGGGAAGAGGGATATAGTATGTGTGGCTTTTCTTACAGAACTTGATTGTGTTCATACCATTGTTTTTCATGTTTTGGCAGAGAGAAGGAGCAAGAAAGGGAAGAACAGTTAATGGAAGACAAGAAAAGGAAGAAAGAGGATAAGAAAAAGAAGGAATCTGCTCAGAAGGTAGGTTTTGATATTTTAATTATTTTATCCAGCTGGAACATAAATAGTATTGGGAGTAGTAAGATGTTAAACTGTATTTGAGCTTAAAAACTTGATTGTTTAGTGGTGCTTCATTAAAGACTATTTTTTTTTAATAATTTTTCTGGAATGTAAGTGTTTATTTTAGACATTTCCTTACTGTGTCATGTGAAATAAAAGAAGTTTTTCAATTTAAAGTATTAAACTTAAGTTACTGAATATGGGCTCTCTTAAGCTATGCAGCTCCTACTGTTTTGAGGTGTTTGGGATGGAAATGCTGCCAGACTTCTGCAAGTCTTGCAGTAAAATTGACTAAATATTTTCTAGAGTAAGTTCTTAGGATGTTTATACGAAATGTTTACTGGTGAAGGTTCCCTTTATTTTTTGCTAAGAATCACTTCAGTTTTACATTTTCTGTAGGTAATAACACTTTTACTGAAGTGCATCGCTTTGAATCTGAGCTGTGGAGAATTGATAAGTCACAGAAAATAATTTTTGCTCACAAAATGGGTTTGAATATTTGGTGTATTAGAAGCTCTGTATTTTGCTAGTAGATTGTTCTAGGAGTTAACTTGACGTATTGTGGCAGATGAAATGACCAACACCGAGATGTCTTCAGGCATCAGCACTTTATTGAAGCTTTGCACTGCTTATCGATCCTTTTTTCCTTCAGCACGCCCCAAGCACGCAGCATTCTTTCACTTTTGATTCGTTACCCCTTATCACCTCGCAGCGAACACACACCTAAACAATTGACATGGTTGGATAATTCCACCTGTTCACGAGCCATTCTTTTACTTCTGACTGGTTACTAATTACAGAACACAAGTCATCCCTTATCTTGTCTCATACACATTCTTGCTTGTTTTTCCACTTTGTTTTATTTTTCACTCAAGGTCAGGAATTAATTGTTCAAGGCTGAAGCCGCCTGCAGCTTCGGCTCTTAAAGCACCAACAACGTATGAAGTTGTGTCTCTTGCAGCTTTATCCGTGCTTTTTATTGGTAAAATCCTTTCTGTCTAGTTCTGGGCTTCCCAGTACAAGGCAGATGTAACCATCCTGGAGAGGCTCCAGCAAAAGGCCCACGAGATGGTTAAGGGACTGGAGTATCTGACAAACAAAGAGGCTGAAAAAGCTAGGGTATTCAGGCTGGAGAAGAGAAGACGCAGGGAGATCTTCTCAATCAATGTATATAAATACCTTGTGGGAGGGAGTAAAGAAGATGGAGGCAGGCTCTTCAGTGGTGCTCAGTGACAAGGTACAAGGCATTATGCCTGAATTGGAATAGAGAATATTCCACTTAATTATGAAAAGACTTTTAAGTGCATGTGTGTGATTGGGCAACCACTGGAATAGTTTTCCCAAGGAGGTTGTAGTGTCTCCATCTTGGGAGATGTTTAAAACTGAGTTGGATGTGGCCCTGTGCAATCTGGTTTTGATGACTCTACTTTGCACTGGGGAGACTCCTGGAGGTGCACGGGGAACAGGCACTCTGTGGACTAGATCTCCAGGGCTATCCCTTCCAACCTCAATGATTATGTGAAATTGAGAGTAGGAAACTTTACTTTCTTTCAGTAGTCTCTGTTTCTCAGTTGCTGCAGTAACAACAGATCTGTGAAAGATAGATGTTCCTCTGTTAGATTCTGTAGGTTTCTGCTGAGAAGAGCTAGCATCGATTTCAGTTAAATTTTGTCTTATCTGGGGTCTTTTTAAATCTACTTTTTTCACCCATTTGAATCTACTGGTTTAAATTAGGTGCAGATAAACTGCTGTATTTCTTTTGTCTTTATCCAGCCATTGTGTTGATACATCTCCAGTAATACTGTAAAAGATCAGTAGCTACAGAGTAAGTTTTCTTCAGTGTCTTTTTGCCTCAGTGTTGCTGCTGTTTAATGTTCAAGTACAAAAAATATGTGTAGGAACCAGGAGGAGCAGACTTTAGTGGTTTGCATATAATCCTGATACTCAGTGATACAAGAGAAACTTACAAAAAGCTTGTACCGATCATCTTGATAAGTGCTTGAGTGTTTACTGAGGAATCAGTGCTTTGAATACAAAGGAGATTTGCCAGCTTTCCTGTGTGGTCCTTCACCTATTAATTTATTCAGTATTATTCAATGTTATGATATTTTTTCAAAATCTTGGGAAGGATAAACACTAAATAAGTTAATCTTACAGAGACCAAACTTAACAGTAATACTTGGAGATATCTAGGAACAGCAAAGCAGGCAACTGAGTGGACAGAAGATAAATGTGTGTGTTCATTCTTAGCGACTGTGTTGGTGTTCACCAAATAGGCTTTAATGATTTGGGGGTACCTTTTTCAGACAGAGTTTGTATAACATAAAACAATTGTTTCTCTCTGGATCTTCTGAAACTTAAAAAGTAATTCTAAAAAATTACTTCAACAGAGGGTTATGCAAGCAAATTCACAGACTAAATTCCTGTGGTTGGTGTCCCAGGGGCTGTTTGGTAGCTTGTCAGAAGGCTGAGTTTGACTCCACCTTCCTGTTCTCTATAGCTGCTCCTGCCCTGCTGATGCTTATAAGTTGCCTGCAGAGAACTGACAACTGTAAATCTGAGATAGTCAAAATTATCTGGTTTAGTGATTTTATTTTTTTTTCAGGTCTAGAATACAAAATCTGAGAAAATATGATACTAAGAAAGAGATGCATTAATAGGCAGCAGTATTTTTTTTTTCCTGAAGCAAACTATGGTTAGCATGTAGAATTCTTTAAAGATTTGGTAAAATGGGGTTCTTCTAAGTACACAAGTTACTGATTTAATGAACAGGTTTACTGTTGACCATAGTAAACCTATCAGCATTACCAGATTGGATTAATGAATAATACTTTTTCCTCTTTTCCTTTAGTAGTGGAGCATCAGAATCCCTTACATGCTTAAAATAATTTTTAACTGTGTTAAAGAAGAGGATGTAATTTGACACATATGGGAATTCTCATAAGTGAAGGGAAAATTGATGTCTGGCTTGGTACAGACAGTTTTGGTACAGGTACATTTTTGGTGTCTTGGAGACTTTTGGATTACATAATTCTGTGAAGTTGCAATGCTTAAGATTTTGTATTACAGTGAACGTTCCACTTTGCATATTGCAATTTTCATCTTTGCAAAGTAAATGATGCCAAAGCAATTCAGTGCAGTTAGTCTTTTTATTCTTTACCATACAAAGGAGTTCTGGCTTGGTTGGTTTAAACAATAAACTGTTTTTTACTTGTGCTTTCATTATTCTATACTGTCACTGTGTGCTTTCCAGAATTATGGACTAGTTCAGCAATTTCTTTTAAGAATAGGTGTCATAGAACCTGACACATGATGATCTTTAGGGTTTTTCCATTATTGTGTAGTGGAACTCATGATCGACAGGTTCAAAACATGCCACAATACACATGATTCCCGAGAATATACCAGTAGTATGTTTGTCTCTACTGTAGCTTGAAATCTGCTATGCTGAAAGAATGTAGAAGTACAGCAAAACCACATGTTGAGTACGTTGGCCAGCATGATGACTCACTTCAGTAATCAACTTCTTATTGTGTTCAAGAGATGCTGAAGGCTGGTGCTTTGTAGGTATTACTGGTCCTTTTTGTAGTTGTGGCAACGAATCCAGTAAGGTTTAGGATTTCCTCTCCTTAGAGGAGATGTCATGGGAAAGGTGAAATGGGAAGATGGCAGAGAGACAGACCGCTGCTCTCACCTGTGGAAATTCTGTTGCTAGCCCCAACAGTGCGCTGTAAGGATACTCTTGCAGAAGGAAGTTTTTGTTACACTTTAATAGTTCACCTTCAAAATCTCCAAGAGCTGTGGTGCTATAGCACGTGTTTATTTGTGCTTTGGAAGTCCCTGTTTGGGGTGAGGAGGGGCGTGAATACTAAAAATCATCATGAGTGAAGTAATTACTGTTTCTGACAGGGACTTTTGCATCAGGAAGAGGTATTCTAGGAACTGTAGTGTTTTTGGAAACTTCATATATATGACTAGAAATACTGTTTAGAGTTGTAGTTCATCAGCTAATTATTTTCACGCAACAAATACTGATCTTGTTGCTAATAAATTGAGGTTGTGGTTTAGCGCAGCCTATTCAGTGTTTGCTTTGAGGTTCTTAAAACTGTTTTTACATTCTTGCTCTTAATTTGCAGGTCACAGATCAAAAAACCAAAGGTAAGAATCTTTGATCCTAAAGAGTATTTTCTATTGACTTGAGCCAGGACTTGGATCTTAATCAAAACTGTTGGAAAAGGAGGGGGAATTAGGAGTCAAGATGAAATGCTGAAGATGTGTATTCGGAAGAAGTAAAAGCTGAGGTGATTAAAATTGAGAGCTTAAAACTATCCGTGTTGTCAGCATCAGAATATTTGGAGAGGGAATGAGGATTATGGATGAAATAGATTAGCTGAAATATTTAGCCTTTCAGTTTTGCAAAGGTATTAGGCAAGTAACCAAAACCTGAAACCACCTGTGCTAATGGAATGAAAGATGAGGAAAGTACTGCTTTTAGTGAGGTACCAAAGTGAGTGAAAATGACTTGTTTATGGAAACCTAAGTTCAGGCACCTAAGAGTCCAACAGATAAGGCAAGACTGATGATCAAGCATTGAGCTTATTTAACTGATGTAAAATATATTCAATCTTGATTTGTGTGTCAGTTTTTTCAAAGTTGTATGGGGAAGTTGCCATTGACAGAAGATAAATAAGATAGTAACTCGATTTTACAGTTAACAATACCATTTTGGGGGGGTTTTGTGCAATGAAGCCTATATAGAGAAATCGGAAAACCCTTATCAAATAAAATGTGTGGAATAATGCATTCACTTGTTTTGATTCTCACATTTGTGAGATGAAAACTTTTACCGATTATGTTCACTTTACTGGCGAGGGGTCTCTGGACATCCTTTTTTGGTATTAATTTTCAACAAAGCCTGGAGTAGATGTATTAATATTTTTTTTGCCCTTGAGTCACATGTCTTAGCAATTACACCTTCTAGGTGCTTGGCTGGGAATTTCTTTGTTTCAAAACAGATCATGGAGAATGTGAGTAAGGGGCAGAAGTCTGGAGCCTTTTAAGCAAATTTTGTGATGGTGCTAGTTCCTCAAGGATTTGTTTATGGTTTTCCTCTTCTCCAGTGCATAATGGCCCTCAGAAGCAGCTTGTCCTTGCTTATAGGGGCACCTGGTGACCAGCTGGGAAGCTTTAGGCTAGCCCAATACAAATGCTGTATGTAGGACTGCCTTTTGGGCAAGAGTCAACAATGACTGCCTTATTTAAGAGCAGTACCGAGAACTCAAGATTTGTTAACTCTGAATCCAAGAGTAGGCTTCCCCCCACACACCCCTTCTCTTTGTTTTTGCAGTGGCCATGTAGCCTGGTAAGCGGATAAATCTTGATAAATTATTTCAGATCTCCCGTAAGGGTGATGCATGACAATGCAAAAACCAGTTGAAGATCAGGGAACAGAGCAGGGTGTAGGGGGGAAACCAGTTATATCTGACTGCTCATACTTTAAAATTACTCATTGCCCAGGATGGTATTCTTTGCCAACTTTACATTTCCAAGAAATCTGAGGCTTAGAGCAAAATACTTGCTGAGGGCAGAGTTTCATCCTGGGGTATAGAGTTGCACATGGAAGCAAGAAGTTTGCTGCTATTGCTTATCGCTGCTTTAATTAAATTGTTCTTCAGTAAGGTTGAAGTTACACAGTATTTCAGAGAATGAAATTATAAAAGGGAAGAGTCACAGTGAGTTCTTGTAGCTAACGCAGTTTTAAATGGAAAAATTTCTGATTTTCATTCTTCCTGTTTTTCAGTGCCCGAAGTGACGAAACCAAGTTTAAGCCAACCAGTGGCTGCCAGCCCAATTGGCAACTCTCCATCGCCACCAGTCAATGGTGGCAACAATGCCAAAAGGGTGGCAGTGCCGAACGGACAACCGCCAAGCGCCGCCCGCTACATGCCTCGGGAGGTGCCACCGCGATTCCGTTGCCAGCAGGACCACAAAGTGTTACTGAAACGTGGGCAGCCCCCTCCGCCATCCTGTATGCTCCTTGGGGGTGGAGCAGGGCCTCCTCCCCCAACAGCACCAGGAGCAAACCCAAACAACGCACAACCAGTGACAGGAGCACTGCTGCAGAGTGACAGTGGGACTGCAACAGGCACGTAATACTTAACCTATGTGTGTGCATGGCAGAAAATGAATCACTAAAATTGTGTATTAGCATATGACTATATAATGAAACCCCTCAGATTGCTTTTGGAGAGCTTACTTTTACTATTTGAGCATATAGAATTTTCTTTTGCTGTTAGCGGCGATGGATGCAATTTTTACTAATAGATGGAACAAGAAAGAAGGTTAATTTCTTAAAAATACATTTTGGGTGGTTTGAATGGGATGCCGCAATGCTCTTAAGACTGTGGCAAGGTAAACACAATACATGGATAAGCAGAGTTCTGTGGTTGTCATTGAGTAGTTCTTAATAGCTTTTTAGGTTTCTTTGATGACATAAATTTCATATCTTGTAACATTTTTATATGATCTGGTAAAACAGATACGTAGATATCAGATCTGCCAATGGCAGATATCTGTCACTTCTCACCTGGATGAAATGGAAAGATGGTCCTTTTGCTCTTGACCTTTTTTAGTAGTAATCTTGTTTTTCTCCTTAGGTAAGTACCTGAAGGGGGCCAACAGGAAGTCTAAAGAGGGACTTTTTACAAGGGCAGTTAGTTAGTTTAGTTAGTTAGTTAGTTAGTTAGTTTCCCCTTTTACAAGGGGAAATGGCTTTAAGCTGAAAGAGGGGAGGTTTAGATTAGATATTAGGAAGAAATTCTTTCCTGTGAGGGTGGTGAGACACTGGAACAGGTTGCCCAGAGAAGTTGTGGATGCCCCCTCCCTGGATGTGTTTAAGGCCAGGCTGGATGAGGCTTTGAGCAACCTGGTCTAGTGGAAGGTGTCCCTGCTTATGGCAGGGGGGTTGGAACTAGATGATCTTTAAGGTCCCTTCCAACCTATACTATTCTATGATAAAACTTTTTATAAAAGTGGTGACTGTCTTGTTTTTGCTTGTCTGTTCACTTTGAATTCCAGAAGATAAATTTATTTTGAAATTAATTGGTTTATGAACATGGGTTAATTATGACTGCTCTTCAGTTTTTTAGATCCTTGGGGAATGGCAGTAACTATAATATTTCCTTCTGAGGTTATGATAGTAGAACAAACAAAATTCCACTCAAGACATCTGCCTTCTAAAGAAAAACTTACGTGATCTGAGAAGTCAAGGGCCACCTCAGTTCTAACAATAAGGGTGTTTTAAAAAGAAATAATAAATGCTTGAAAGTCAAAGGAAGAATATAATTATATCACTGTGTCTTGAGTTTGCCTTTGAAAACCAGGACAGATTAATGTGATGGGGTTTTTTAACCACAGTCTTTGAGAGCGTAAACTTTTTCTAGTTCTCTCTAGGTTCAGAAGGAAAAACAGAGGTGACTCTGCTACTACCATCAGTATCAGTAATAACCATGCAGGTTCATTAACTGGGTTATAATGATTATGTTGAACTTAACTGCTGTACTGTTAGCAAAAGTAAATTCACATCTCCATAAAATGTCGTGGGGAGTTTGTTGAAGGTTTTATCAGTATTTTCAATTATATTTGCCAGCCTGATGTTCTTCCAAAGCAACTTTGTTACACATTTGAGGGAAGGGTTCTTAATGAAAACAGTAATCAGTGGGGTCAAAAATGTGATGTTCAGTGTTTGTAAATAATATTAATTATTAATGACCATGGTGGGTGGTGGGTTTTGGTTTTTTGTTTTTGTTTTTTAGATTCAGCAATTGGAGGTGCTGCTGCTTCAAATTATGCAAATTCCACTTGGGGTCCTGGAGCCTCCTCCAGCAGCGGCACCAACGCCAACCCAACTCACGTCTGGGACAAGGTGATTGTAGACGGGTCTGACATGGAAGAGTGGCCTTGTATTGCCAGCAAAGATGCTGAGTCTTCTTCCGAAAACACCACCGATAACAACAGTGCCTCGAACCCTGGCTTGGAGAAGAATGCTCTGCCAGGAAGCACCACTAGTAACAAAGGAAAAGGAAGCCAGTGCCAGTCTGGAAGCGCTGGAAACGAATGTAATCTTGGGGCCTGGAAATCTGATCCCAAGGCTAAATCTGTTCAATCTTCCAACCCTGCTGCCGAGAGTAACAATGGACTAGGTAATTGGAGGAACTTGAGTGGACAAGATAGAATCGGTTCCGGTTCTGGCTTCAGCAACTTTAACCCAAATAGCAACCCATCTGCTTGGCCGGCACTGGTTCAAGAGGGCAATTCTAGGAAAGGAACTTTGGAATCTGATAGTGGTAGCTCCAATGCACAGATTAGCACAGTAGGTCAGACCTCTAGGGAACAGCAGTCAAAGATGGAAAATGCGGGTGTTAACTTTGTCTCTGGCAGAGAACAGGCTCAAATTCATAACACTGATGGACCAAAAAATGGAAACACTAACTCCTTGAACTTAAGTTCACCAAACCCTATGGAGAATAAGGGAATGCCCTTTGAAATGGGCTTGGGGAACTCTTCCAGGAGCACTGACACCCCTTCACAAAGCACTGGAGAAAGAAAGACTGGGAGTGTTGGATCTTGGGGTACAACTAGGGGGTCTTCTGGAACTGACACAGTCTCTGGACAGAGCAATTCTGGAAACCATGGGAACAATGGAAAGGATAGAGAGGACTCCTGGAAAGGAGCTTCTGTTCAGAAACCTAATGGGTCAAGAAGTGATTCTTGGGATAACAATAACCGGTCTACGGGTGGTGGGTCTTGGAACTTTGGCCCTCAGCATGCAAATGAAAGCAAATGGGGTGAAGGGAACAAATTAACATCTGGGGTCTCTCAGGGAGAATGGAAACAGCTGTCTGGGTCTGATGAACTGAAGATTGGAGAATGGAGTGGTCCAAACCAACCAAATTCTAGCACTGGAGCATGGGACAATCAAAAAGGCCACCCTCTTCCTGAAAACCAAGGCAATTCCCAGGCTCCCTGTTGGGGAAGATCTTCCAGCTCTGCGGGGAGTGAGGTTGGAGGTCAAAGCACTGGAAGCAACCACAAAGCAGGAAGTAGTGACAGTCACAATTCTGGACGCCGATCATATAGGCCTACGCATCCTGATTGCCAGGCAGTCTTGCAGACTTTGCTGAGCAGGACTGATTTGGACCCCCGCGTGCTTTCAAACACTGGCTGGGGCCAAACTCAAATTAAACAAGATACCGTGTGGGATATTGAAGAGATGCCACGGCCCGAGGGGAAGTCTGATAAAGGAACTGAGGGGTGGGAGAGCTCTGCCACACAGACAAAGAACTCAGGGGGCTGGGGTGATGTACCCAGCCAAAGCAATCAAATCAAGTCTGGATGGGGTGAGCTCTCAACCCCAACTGAGTGGAAGGACCCCAAAAATACTGGAGGATGGAATGACTATAAGAACCCAAATTCTTCTAACTGGGGAGGAGGAAGACCGGAAGAAAAATCATCTTCCTCTTGGAATGACAACTCTAGTAAGGATCAGGGGTGGGGTGGGCGGCAGCCTAATCAAGGATGGTCTTCTGGAAAGAACGGCTGGGGAGAGGAAGTTGACCAAACAAAAAACAGCAACTGGGAAAGCGCAGGAAACAAGCCAGTGTCTGGCTGGGGTGAAGGTGGGCAAAATGAGATTGGAACTTGGGGTAATGGTGCAAATACAAGCGCTGCTTCAAAGGGTGGATGGGATGATTGTAAAAGAACTTCAACATGGAATGAGACGGGTCGACAGTCCAGCTCCTGGAACAAGCAGCACCAGCAGCAACAGCAGGAGGCTTCTGGTTCCTGGGGTCCACCGCCCCAAACTCCAAGTAATGGGCGACCTCCAAATCCAAACTGGAACAGTGGACCACAGCCAGCTGCCCCCAAAGAGGATGAGCCTAGTGGCTGGGAAGAACCTTCTCCACAGTCAATCAGTCGAAAAATGGATATTGATGATGGCACTTCAGCATGGGGAGATCCTAGCAGTTATAACTACAAGAATGTGAACCTGTGGGACAAGAACTCACAAGGAGGACAGGCCCCACGAGAGCAGAGCCTGCCTACTCCAATGACTAGCAAATCACAAGCATCAGGTAATAGTCTTGTTGCTTTCTTCAGCAAGCTCCTATATGTGAATGTAACCTTAAAGCATAAGAGATACTCATGTAGCCTCCGATTTCTAGTAGTTTTATTCCATAAAGAAAACCAATTTCTTATTTGAATATTTGGTTCTTTATTTACAGTGTCTTTAAAATTTGAATCAGTTAGTCCTCTGCTTGTTGTGCCTCAGTAACTGATCTGAATACTGCTCATCTTGCCAGTAAAAGAAAACATTTGCTAACTGACAAATCTGCATATTGAATCTGAGCTCTGAAGAACAGGTTGAATTACAGAATCATAGAATCATTTTAAGTTGGAAAAAAACCTTTATGATCGTTGAGTTCAACTGTAAACTTAACACTACCAAGTCCACCACTAACCCATGTCCCTAGGTGCAATATCTACACATCTTTTTAAATACCACCAGGGATGGAGACTCCACCACTTCCCTGGGCAGCCTGTTCCAATGCTTGACAACCCTTTTGGTGAAGAAATGTTTCCTAATTTCCGCTGGTGCAACTTGAGGCCATTTCTTCTTGTCCTATTGCTTGTTACTTGGGAGAAGAGACCAACACCCATCTTGCTACAACCTCCTTTCAGGTAGTTGTAGGGAGTGATAAGGTCTCCCCTGAGCCTCCTTGTCTCCAGACTAAGTCACTATTTTTATATTGAATTATTAGAGAAACAGGGAGAAATTCTTTCCTTATTTTTAGGCAAAAACTTGCTGTGAAACACTGAGTTAACACTTGAAATCACAGACTCACTCTGAAATTATTTTTTTAGTTCAATTTGGCTCTGCTGTGTGATAAAGAATACTTAAAGTATTTTATTCTTTGATATAAGGACAAGAAAAAGTTATATAGCCTGGAAATACATTAGGATGTTATTGTTATGTATTCTCTTATCTGACTCAAACTTGCTTTAAAGAACACTATTTCGTTTTAATATGTACTTCAGATACATCCTTACTCTTTCTTCAGTATATGAAAAGCCTGAGTTAGTCTGGTGCTTTTAATTAGTCAAAAAAGTTCACCAGATATGAGGACAGCACTAGATGTGGGGTTCCTGTTTAACCTGGGACCAGAATATTACTCATCATAGCATTCTCTTCCTTTTCATCCCTGGAGGTCAGTGCCTGCTTTAAGTTTGATGTGAACAGTTGTCAGTTCTGTTGCACTCACACTATTGAGAATCTGAAGTCCTCAACAGACAGAATTGAAGCAGTAGATTAATTATATGGTGCTGCACTGCAGTAAGTAGTTCATTGTCTAAATGGTCTGTAATGAAAACTCTTTCTCCTTTGTGCAGTCTGGAGCAAAAGCACTCCACCTGCTCCAGATAATGGTACGTCTGCCTGGGGTGAGCCAAATGAAACCAGTCCCGGGTGGGGTGAAGTAGATGATACAGGAGCATCGACAACAGGCTGGGGGAATGCACCTTCCAACACCCCGAATGCCATGAAATCTAGTGAGTATAGGCCAGATACCAGTTTCTTTGCAATGGTCCTAGAGATTTTAGTGTTTGGCCTTTCGATCTTGGTCGCCCATGGAGCAATTGTTATTTGAGGCCTGGAAGTAATGTTCAGTGTCATACAAGATTTTAATGGATGAGTGATTTAAGTGCTTACAAATAACTGGGACTTTGTCTTTTAAGGTAATGAAAAATTTCCTAACTAAGCATTTAAATGGGCAGCTCTGATTTGTGGAGTTGTTGAAACATTAGAGCATCTGAGTAAGGAAATGTATCTTTTTCTCAAAATGTCTTTTCTGGCTGCCACTTGTTACTTAGCATATAAATTTGTTAACATGACAAATCAGTTTTCCTGATAGTGTCAGAAAAAGGAATGCATAGTACAGACAGATTTCACTGTGGAGGCCATTACGTGGTAATCCGTGCAAGTAATGTGACTTGCCTTTGATTTTTTTTTTTTCTTTAAATTGTATAAGTGTGGAAAATTGTAGCTCTTAAGAACTGAACTTTCTTTTGTGTTTGAACGTAAATGAATATTTTTCTGGATATTACCTGCCTACAGCTGTTTTCTCCATGAAGGAGATGTTGTTGAAATTTTTTAAAAAATTACTTTGAAGTTAAAATTTTGCTGTATTAAGAGTTTTATTTTTGTGAAAATTATTC